TCTGTTTGATTGATGAAAAAATGAAGGGAAATCTCCATGGAAAATGCATCTTGGTGATTTAATCAGCTTGATTAATTTTGGAAAGTAAAAATAAACATATATTGGGCACGGATTCTTGTAATTTTTTTTTACCCTCTAGATGAAGTTTTAAATTATGGAGATAGCGCATAAAGATTTCAGTTGCTGTTTCTTTTGTTTCATTCATTTAGATTGAGATTTTCCTAGCTAGGTGGATAATAGCATTTAACTTATTTTTAAGGAGTCCCAGGGAGACGAAGGTTCTAAAGTTCTGAATTGAGCATTCTTAAGGACATATAGAGATTGCAGAGGTTGGCATAATTAAAATTGAACAAGATTGTATTGAATAGGTGGCAATGGTACAATTTTTGGAATCAAAGAAATGACTATAGGAGTTTAGTTGCAAGAGTAACCTATTTTGGATGTTGTATATATGTCTAGTTAGTGGGTTGCATTGTGGTTCAATATTAGGATCGGGCTAAATTTATTAATTCACTCTTAAGCTGATTTAATTATTGCACTTAATTCTAAATCAATATTACCAGTCAGTTCCAACTGAAAGACCACTTTTGTATAAGTACGGAATCTTATCCCATAACCGAATATATCTTGTGATTTGGATTAGAGTGGTGATGCTTAGAACTAAAATGGGGCATTAGAATTTCCCAAAAATTGAACAAGCATGATTCAGAGACATGTATAGAATAATCATGTAATATAATCTACTATTATAACATTATTCATAATTAATGGCATTTCAATATTCATATCCTTCAATTTTTCTTCTTGTTTATTATTCGGTATATATGAGTTTCCAATTAGTAGCAGAGTCAGGCTTTTCAATCCATACTCCATTAAATGCAGTTAAGATGACAACATTTACATAGATATGCACATAGTTTTCTGTGAAAAAAAATCAAGAAATAAGCATGAAGAACTATAGTTTTCTATGTATAGTTAGTGGGTTGCATTGTAGTTCCTGCTTTGCTGCTTGGTTTTTATTTGGTATATGTGATGGTTGGTCCAAGAAAAATGAAGACTGAAACAAATAATCAAGAGATATGTCAAGAGTTGGAAGTGCCATTTTTAGCAATTAAGAGATTATGTAGTGGCTGTTACATTAGTGTCTATTTTGTGATTTGAGTTCTTAATAGACTGCTTAATGCCTATCACATATTATATTACTTTTACATTTAGTTATGTGGCTTATTAATCTTCTAGGAGATTTTGGCATAATTTTCAATCTAATGAAGTAGACAACTCTTTATCTACGATGGAAGAGTAAATATCTAAATATTACTTTAAGTTGTGTAGAGAAAAACTATTATTTTTTTTATTTTTTTATATAGTTCTGCAGTTTTTTTTTTTAAGTCATTTACAGATGTAAGTAAAATAAATTTGGTCCTGCCTCTAGAAAGTTTAATGGACCTTTGAGTTGTTAAGTTTAATTTTGTTATAATAATCTCTGTAGGCTGGTATTTGCCTTTTTTGCCTTTTAGAGAAAAGATATTCATATGATTCCATTTCTCTACTTTTTGTTGTCTACAGTCATAGCAACTATAATATTTTTACATAAACTTACAATCCGTAGGCATTCATTATATGGCACTCTAATTATATGTTTTGCCTCTTTTTTTCTTGCAATTTCAATGGGCTCCCCAAGCAGGTTTAAAGTTTTGGTACAATTTCTGCAAATGTTGTTCATAAATTTTTTTCATGATTACATTCATATGCTTTTTGCCTTTTTATCCTACAGATGGCTGACCAACAAATACTTGGGAGGTAATAATGCAGTAACCCATTTGTAATGGTTAAACTTCCTGAATAATTAAGTGGTTTATCCTTTTTCCATATTGTTATTGAAAACAACCTTAAGCTCCAGGATCTTTTTGTCTTGCACTTTCCTCATCCACTTTTTATCTGGCATTGTCAGCCAAGCTTACATTCTTCATCCCAGACCAAGTTGTTTAAATTATACAAAAAGATAGAGGAAGAATCATCATTGACATATGGCTTGTTGCATTAACGCGCATCCTAGCTGTTCGAGCAGTGATTGTGAAACTTGCTTTATATCTTCACATACACATCTTTGTTTTCCCTCCCTCTCCTCACTTGAAAATAGAATTGACTATAATATATCATTTTATAGAATAAGTAACATAGTTTGTCCTAGATACTACATTCTATTGACATTTATAAATATATTGCTCCTAATAATGTAAGCAATTCTTTCAACTGTTATCCCATGACTGCATCACCTATACTGCTTAACTCTACTTTTTCTGACATTTCCAGACCCATGTACTTAGAGGACTAGCTAGCATTTTAAAACCCCTCATTTTTGTCTCCCGAGTCCCACAGGATTGCTGGCTTGCTGCAAATGCCCCCTCGTGCAAGTGCAAAGTTAACCTTTCACCAAAAATCTCTAGTTTCCAGCGATTCTCGGCTTCTCCTTCTCCGTTGCTCATTCTCCCAGTTCCGTTTGTTCTCCTTCTACCCAAATTCAACAGCTCTCTCCCATTCCCTTTTTCTTACAACGTACGTCCATGAAACCCCAATGGAATCCGGAGTTCTCCTTCTTCTTATGGAGAGAATCGACTATCACATTCAATTATTTAAGGATGAATTGATTGATGCATTAGGAAGGTAGGCCATCAGCCATGGATGGAGCTTGATTCTTGATTCTGACATGCAGGATTTTTCCAAGTGAGTCATGTAAATAATACCCTAACAAATTTCGCATTGAATGTAGTCCCATTTCATCACATCTGAATGTTTTTTCAATCTCTCAGGCCAACTTTGAATTAAGCATCTGCCTAGGACAACAATGCTTGATTTTTCTCAATGGGATGGATGCCTTAATGCCTCAGGTAATATATGCCAATTACAATTTATTAGTTTTTATTTGTGTTCTTTCTTGTGTGTCTGTGTGGGTGCAACTCAGTTAGTTAATCAATTGGAAAGAAAATTAACCACTTCTTGAGAATTGAACACCAAAAAACGTGATGCAAATTTAGAGCCATTGTGACATCTAGGTGGG